ATATATATATATATATATATATGGTCCTAACTCACTAACTAACAAAAAATGCAAAACTAATTGAAAAAGTAAGGATCTCATGTCATAGTTAACCAGAAGAAAGATCCCATTAAAGGTTGTCAGTTAGGTTCTTCAACGAAAATTGATCATCTGCAAAATTGATGAATACTTTGTACTACTAATATGGTTACTCAAAAAATAAGAAGTTAAAGGCTTAAATTTTCACAAAGGATTAATGAGTCACATAATTATTAAATGCTAATTTTATTTTAAAAAAAATATTATTGACACCAAATTAAAAAAAAAACTAAATCAATTTTAAGAAATAGATTAAGGGACGAAAACTTCAAAAGCCTAGTTTAATTTAAAAAGAGGAATTACGGATCAACTAAATATGAAACTCTAAATTCATTTTAGGAAATGGAATAAGGAGCCACGAAATCCAAATCGCTAATTTAATTTTAGAAAAGGGATTACTTGAGCACCAAAATGAAAAACGTAAATTAAATTTAGGAAACAGAGCAAGGACCAAAAATAATAAATAAAAGATATATAAATAAAAAAAACTAACTTAATTCCAGGGATTAAAAGGCCACAAGATTTTCGAAACCTAATGTGATATATTACAAAGAACAAAGGTAGTTCCACAAAATTTTCAAATCCCAATTTGATTTCATAAAGGAAATTAAGGTTCGACGAAATTTAAAATCCCTTATTCATGTGAGGGGAACAATTACGTACCATCAACTAATTTAAATAACCCTAATTTAACATCAATAGAATGAGATAGACCATTATGAACTCAGGGGCACACATGGGGACCATTAACATACTAAACCCTAAAAGTACTACTTTCTTTTTTTGCTAAAGTACTACTGTACACTGTACTGAATTTCCATTGCTCTTTGGTGTTTTACAATCTCTCATTGATTAAAGCAAAGCAAAAACACATAAGGTTTTGTGTATTTCACAAGAAACCATAATCATAATCATATTAAAGAAAAAAATGATAACGAGGTTGTGTTTGAGTAGGAATTCTAGAGGTGTGGCAAGTCCGTTTATAAGTTAGTCGTTAAAAAATGATTTGGGAAGTGGGAGACACGAACAACACAACAAGATTGGATTTTATTATCTAACTAATTAATTAAACATCATTGATAATATTACTACTTTTTTCTTTTCACGGATAATATTTTTATTATTTGAATATCAAAAAATTGACCCCATGTATAATATTTTCTATATAGTTATTTTTATCTACCACTTACCTTTTTCTTTTTATATATATACATACATTTTAAAATATTGTTAAAAATAGAAGGGTCAATTTTTTGTTGTCTCAAATTTGTGTTGAAAAACTAACATTTTCTAACAGTATATCTTGAGGGCCCAAATTATATCATCGATATATATTGTTCAGTATTTTAAATTAAATATAATTAATTAAAAATATAAATTAAATATTATAAATTATATGTGCAAAAAATATATATAATTAACAAAGATAGAATTAAAAAAATTAACTAAGAGTTAAAAATGATATAAATTTCTTTTCCATTAAGAATAAAATAAGAAATTAGCCTGTGCTTAAATTATATATGCAATGTTTTCTTTTATTTATTCATAAATCTCAAAGTTGAGACTTTTCTTAAAGGATTCAGATCTAACAGCATGTTGGTAAAACTACTCTAATAAAATGTACAAATTAAAATAAATTAATCAGTGACAAATATATTTATATATATACAATAAATAATAAAAGGCTACTTTGATAATAAATCCCAAAATATACTTACTACGCAATCGTCAATCTTGATAAGTATATATGTACAGCCTGTTTCTATATAAGAAACCACATATTCTAATTCTAAATATGATCATTTTTTAATCTCCAAATTAAATTGTAATCTGACAATACAATTATTTGGTAGAGATGATTACAACTTGTATTAGCAATTAATTAAATTATTCGAATAGTAAATTCACTAAAAATATAATTCACAAAGTTTAATTATAAAACACAATTATATATTCCACATTAGTGTTGATGACATGCTTATTCTCATTTAGAAATTTATCTAATGATTATTTTAAGGAAGGAAAGTCAATTGAAGCATCATGAAATTGATATATCCAAACATTAATATAATCGAAGAATTTGGATGTTACAACCGATTTATGTCAACAAGTGATAAAAATATAGACATGTAAATATTTAAAACGAAATCATCTTTAACAACTTGAAAGAAAAGTTTATAGTTCAACCCCTATAACTGGAGGGGTCAATAATGTTTGCAAAAGATGAATATTTTAATCTGACACATGATGCATATCCCCTTCTCCATGACCATTGCTTACGTTAATTTGGCTTTGGTTAATCCAATTCTAGGTCGCCTTCACTTACCTTACACCTTGACTTGTTCCCTATCCATCATTCACGAACTCGCCTCCATTATGGCAACCAAAATTTAACTACCCTATTTTACTAGTCTAAATTACTTCTATTAAGCATTTCCTTTCCTTTCTATTCATGCCTCAATGAACCCTTGAAAATAAAATATGAAATCTCAACAATGAATGAAAAAAATTATCACCTCATATGTTTGCAATTGTGTAACAAATGTGAATGTGATTCTTGTCTTTTTCTTATTTATTTATATCAATAATCAAGAAAAGATAAAACATTGCCGCAACAAAGGTTGGAGGTAGTACAAAAATGCTTTAAAGAAACCATTGACAAAGACGTACGTACTGCATTGTGTGTCTGCGATAATTAAAATTTTAAGCTAAGGTATATATATTGAGAATGAGATTATATAGAGCAAATAAATAGAATACAAAGGGTACAAAGATACGTCTCGTATTATTAGACGTACATGTGGATGAAAGAATTATAATATATATAAAGAATGTTTGGTCTAGAGTAAAAAAGAATGCATATATAGAGAAATTGAAGATCCCATTTCCCAACTACTCTCGTAGGTGCGGCAAGATCACATTGGCGTTGAAATCGTGTGTGCAAATTCGTTGAGAGGTGTTTGTCTTGTTTTCTAACCATTGCGTTTCTTTCTTTTTAATACAAACCTCCACGCCCAAACGTGTGAACCAAAAACCCTCTCTCTTCATACTCAAACTCTCAAACCTTTCTCTCTCTCTCTCTCTGATTCTAGAGAGAGAAGAGAAATCATAAACCGCATTGCGAAAAAAAAAACAAAAAAGAAAAAGAAAAAGAAAATTCGATGAGAACGGCGTCGTTCGGGAGGTGCAGCGCCGGAGAGCTCGAAGTGCCGGAAAGCTGCGGCACTTCGTCGCCGGCGGCCGGAGGACACGCCTACGGCGCCATGCTGCCGGTGTTCCTGAACGACCTGCGGAGCAACCACCACAAGGAGCTCGTGGAGATCACGCTGGAGCTGGAAAACGACGCCGTGGTGCTCTGCAACGTGGCGCCGGCGCCGTCTTTGGCTCCGAACGCGTCGCCGTCGTCGAGCGGTGAGGGAGGCGGCGGAGCGGTGGTGGCGAGGAGCCTCTCGATCACGTCGAGGATTCGGAGGAAGTTCCCGTGGCTGCGGTCGG